TTCAATTCTTTCAAGTCTCATAGCAAACTGTGGGATTATCTTTATAATTGAATCATCCTTTTTGAGGATTTTTATAAGAAATGTGTCATTAGATTGGGTAGAGAGAAGTGATGGGAGGGGAGGGGAAGGGGGATAGGAAGGGCAGCAGAATAAAATAGACTCTAGTATTGCTGTATGTATATACATGTTTGTATAACCAATGTGATTCTGCAACCTATACACTCAGAAAAATGAGAAATTATACCCCATTTGATTCAAATGTATGATATGTCAAGATCATTGTATTCTCATGTGCAACTAATAAGAAAAAGCAACAAATATATAGGCAGTATTTGACATGTGTCGTCATGCTCAAGGGTGATACACAGCTACCCATGTAAAAATGGCACTCATTATTTAGAAATATGAACAAGTTTGGCTCTTGTGACTTTACTATCTCCCAGTATATGGGTATTTTTAAATACTTATTATTCTGCCAGTATATTATGTACATTAGAAATCACACAATAGAAATCTTAAAATGTAGATATTCTAATAGTGTCTTTTTGTATTCTGGTTAATCTTTGCAATTACTCTAGTATCAGGATATAGACTGATACTCCTTTCCCTGTAATAGCAACAGCTGCAAAGCCAACCAAAATGGTGTGAGCATATGAGGGAAACAGTGATCTGTCCAGGCTAAAATGTTTTGTAGTATAACTATAGTTAGAGTAGTATAAAGTAGTGAACTATAGTAGTGCAAAGAGTTTTGAAATAGCCTGAGTTAAATTGGGTCTCCAGAAGGAATTTATACAAGTGTATCCCACTCCAGACAAAATAATACATGGGAATCTGAGCTAAATAGATTTTTATTTAAATGAAACTTAAGTGGTATTATAGACACCTGTGTACAAAAAGGATTTTTTTTTTGAGATAGAATTTTTTTTAATATTTATTTTTTAGTTTTCGGCGGACACAACATCTTTTGTTTGTATGTGGTGCTGAGGATCGAACCTGGGTCGCACACATGGCAGGCGAGCGCGCTACCACTTGAGCCACATCCCCAGCCCCCCAAAAAGATTTTAGGAAGTACTTGACAATGGTTCCTTGATTAAAAAAAAAAAAAAAATCATATTTTTTTAGTTGTAGTTGGACAAATACCTTAATTTATTTATTTATATGTGCTGCTGAGGATCGAAACCAGTGCCTCACAGTACTAGGTGAGCACTCTACCGCTGAGCCACAACCCCAGACCCCCATCATAGATTTTATATATCCTTGGTCTTATATATTCTTTTTCTTTGGAATTCTGTTGGAGGTGAATGCTGAAATTGAGTCTTTTTTTCTGATTTTTTGTTAGGTGGTTGATTCAATGGATGCATTAGATAAAGTTGTCCAGGAAAGAGAAGATGCATTAAGGCTTCTTCAGACTGGTCAGGAAAAAGCTAGACCTGGTGCTTGGAGAAGAGACATCTTTGGAAGAGTCATCTGGTACATAGATTACATTGTGATCATCTAAGATGAGAATGGAGATCCCATACCTCATTTGCTGTCCACTATCTTTTAATAATATTAACTCTGATCATTTCAGAGATTTATCTTATGTAAGAAGAGGACCCAGACTTCTTTGCAACACTAGGATATGGACTGCAGGTCACTTTGATAAAACCAATAGCAGCTCAACTATCCCATTCTCATGATTGTTATGTATGTATAGGTTTTTTATAACATTGATTCTTATCTTTTGTCATGGGATCTTTTGAGAATTTTTTGAAAGCTCTGGATCCTTGATCYAGGAACATAAACATATACACATATCATTTCAAGTTATAAGATCTTGAAGCTAAATTTCAGGACACACCACTGCCCTCTCTACCCATTAAGAACCTGCAACTTAAAAATAAGTTCTGGAGGAATAAGGGTCACATAAATCAGTTTCAGTTTGCTATTGTTGCTGTCAAAATAATCCCTAGGCCAAATTATGAAAAAGTTAATGATTATGCCTCCTATTCTCTACTACATACAGAATTTTTGTCATACTTTGTGAAAGGCTCTAATAGTACACTGAGTCATAAATAATTGGCCCAGGGCAAATAAACCTGTCCTCTGGTGTGTATTTATACTTGAGTTGAAAAGCCAAAATGAAGTTTTCTTAGTAGTATTTTAAACATTGGACGGCAAAGGGGAGAAGGCATTTTGGGTGATTATTAGACCTTACTGTGCTCTTGAAACACCACCACAATATTATGCACCTACTCATTTTCTTTTTATTTATTTACTTATTTTTGTAGTTGTAGATGAACAGAATGCTTTTATTTTGTTTATTTTTATGTGGTGCTGAGGATCCAACCCAATGCCTCATGCATGCTAGGCAAGCACTCTACCACTGAGCTCCAGCCCCAGCCCTATGCACCTACTCATTTGACAAGTTGTTTTAATGGACTGCTTGGAGCCATAGGAGAGTAGCTGTGCTGTCTGTAACCATCTAATTCAACACAGAAAAGAGAACTTGTCAAAACAACTAAAAACTTAGGGACGGAAAGTAGCTCAGTGGTAGAGCACTCATCTACCATGCTTGAGGCTCTATATTCAATTCCCAGTACTGCTTTAAAACAACCAAAAAATATTTATTTTTAAACTTTTATTTGGATTAATTTATTTGACATGAATTAGGAAAAGCTGGAAAATTAGTAAAGTGAAAATATGTTAAGTATTTTCTATAAAGAAGTAACTTGTTTTATTGGCAGGCACAAGTTCAAGCAGTGGCCTATACCTTGGTACCTAAATAAAAAATACAATAGGAAACGATTCTTTGCAATGCCTTACGTGGATCATTATCTGAGGTGAGCACAAATATCTTTAATCATAATGAAACAGCATTTTTAACATCAGTTGACATATATTAAACTTTGTTTTGTTATATTATGAAAGTGTAACCTATTCATTGTGAAAAAAAAAATAGGAAGATTAATTAATAAAAGAAAATTAAAGTCATATGTAATCTTACTATCCAGAAACAGCCACTGTTAACAATACTATCAAAAGTTCTATTGCTTTTCCATCTATTTATATATAAGTAAATGGGAAAATCCAACTGTAATGTTAAAATGCAAGCTCCAAATAAATCAGTTGCACAAAATATGAGCTCATGTTATTACAAGGTTAATGAAAACAAAGACTAGGGAGAGAAGTCTGTTGCATTATGTATGAAATCATGCAAGCCTGCAGAAAGTTGATCATGTATTTTCCGTAGCAAATTCTCACGTAAGTTTATCGTTGAATAGGGAGAACATAAGACTGATATTACGATAGAGAAATGAAGTAGTCCCAAGAACCACCGCCTGATAATTAAAAATAATTTTTTCAATTTTTAAAAATGCTTTTTAAAAAATGCTTATTTAAAACACTGGATCCACATCTAAAAGCATGGTTTTATCGTTGAAAGTAATTTTTTTAGTCTTCAAAGAATGTAATCTTCAAAACATTCTTAATAGAAAAACTTTCTTTCACTCAGATGAGTTTTTGTAAATGGCCAAAATCTAATTGGATCAGACTGATGAATGGATAAAATATTTCAACAATTTAGTCTGTGTGTATATATGTATATCTATATATATGTATGTATATGTACACACACACAGACACACACACACGTATATTTTTGTCTTTACCCAGAAATGTCTCTTATTGTGTATTTTATACCAACCCTTATATACTGATCAATAAAGTATCCCATAAAAATATCAATTTCAGTAGAGGTTTGGCATCCATGAACTTATCATCCTCAATTTTGATGACTCCCAAGTGGCCATACAGATCAGCAAAATTTTCCTGAGGCACAAATGCGTACTGCCCTGGAATGCTAATGTGCAGGGACAAACTCTTTAAAGGTTAAGTCTAATCAGTGTTAAGTGTCATCTTTTAGCATGATTTTATTCTGTGTGTAGGGAAGAGGATAAGGTAGGGTGAGTGCTATTTGAAAATTTGGGCATTCCTACAAGTGTCAGAATGTTTTCTAGTCATACTAGAATTGAACTTCAGGCCTAGTCTACTCCAGGCTTATAAGATCTGAACATTCTTTCCAGTCGTAAAACAGAAATGGTATTAGTGTAGGGTTATAGATGATTTTGATTTCACATTTATCTTGACTTGTATAGATTTACAGTGATTATTATAAGTTTAATAATATAAACACCAAATCAGAGACTGGCATGACGAAGGCTTTTTATATAATTGACTTGGATATGTTTTGATAGTATTAAGTAACAAAGAAATAGTTTTATATAAAATTACTGTTATGCTTTTATTATTCTAGATTGAGGCTTGAGAAACAAGCCCGCCTCAAAGCAAGAAAGCAAAGTTTAGAGAAAAAGAAAGAAAAACGTCTTCAAGAAAAGTTTCCACATCTTGCTGAAGCTCAGAAGTCAAGTTCTGTCTAAAAAGTCTGACTTGTTAATTTACTATGTGTTTTTTCTTGTATAATAGTCTATATTCAAAAGTAAATATATGTTAAGTGGTTTATAAAGAAATTGTGCTTTTGATCAAATGACCTATCAGTTGTCCTGAGGGTTAACATGGCTTGTAAATTGTCAAAGAGGTCTATCGCCTATAAGATTTTTTACAAATCCAGCATAAAGTTCAGATTAAATTAAATCCTGACATCTAAAGAGGCGTTAATATTCCCTGCTTATCTTAGAGGGTATAGAASCACCAAAGCTAAGGCAATAAGTTAGTATTTGGAATTCAGATAACCTTTTTAGTATTACTTATGAATATGAAATGAACCATATGTGGACACTATTGTTAATAAACAGTAAACACTTTCACTGAAAATAATGATTAAAAATACCTTTGGCTGGGGTTGTAGCTCAGTGGCATAGCACTTGCCTAGCATGTGTGAGGCACTGGGTTCAATTCTCAGCACTGCATATAAATAAATGAACAAAATAACATCTTAAAAAAATTTAAAATATAGCTTTGGTATTTAAAAGTAGCAAGTCACAGCATACAACAGTCCAAAAATATTTTTGGAATGGCTAGTAATTTTTATTTAAATTTGCAAGCCTGAGGTAAAAGCATAGGCAGTAACTTTTACTAGTCAATAAAAAGCAATTCTACCACCCACTGGTAATTAATATACTAAACAGAGTTGGAAAGCATTTTACTGAAAGCAAAATATTTAGAGAAAATAGACATTTATACAAAATTATAAAATGCTTGTAATAAGAATAAGTGCATTTCAAGGAAAGCACAAACCCATTTTAATTTATAGAACTAGTTAAAGCCTTAAAAAATTTAAGTGGAAATTGAAATATGCAAAAATGTATAAACATTCTACAAAAGATGGTCATTCTTTCCTGAGTATACTAAAGCTATGAAACGTAAGGTGACACAGGAAGGTAGAGTTTTGGGAACTCTTTTTCAAGGACATTTCCTTTCTACACATTGTTTCCCTCCTTCTTCATATTCTTGTTTGGAAATCCACATCTGCTGAAAGGTGCCCTGTAAAATGGAAAGAAACAATTTTGCCTTACTTATTAATGAAAAGTACATTTTGCTTTTAATATCTTTGTTTTAACAACTCTTAAACTTTGAAGAACTTTTAAACTCCCTTCCTAAACAAAGTACTCCATAATTCCTCTAGACCCATCCCAAAATACAATGTAAACTTGCCTTTCAGGTTATAAAGAATATTAAATCCTTTTATACCTGTGAATCTGTGTAGAATTTAGAAAATGGCTGTCAAGGAAGACAAGAGGGTACTGCTTGTGATGGCTAGTTGCCAACTTAAGGCAACAACAGAAATCACTGGAAAGCCTATGTACTTAGTGACATTTACTCAGCTACTCTGAGGCAAAGGGGAAATCCCACAAGTGTAGGATCCAGAAAATCACAAGGACTTTTCCTCTTGATTCAAGGCAGACACCAGTCCAAAACCCAGCATCATGATTTCATTTGCTCAAAGGACCAACTCCAACTCCTAACTTCCTATACCTCACCAACAGACAAGAGAACAACTAGACTGACTTAATTTTAAATGCAGTGCAGGCAAAGCCTCACCAGTGCCAACAGGGTTATTATTAGAAGAGGCATGAACACTTCAATATTCCTACCTCTGTTTGAGAAGGGAAACTGAAATTAAATAACAAAGAGGCATTCTGTTAGAACGTTATAAAACATTCTTAATGGGTCTCCACTCATTTGATAGTTATAAAATGCAAAAATAAATGAAGCACTGGAATTATATTTAGAATTTTTGTGAAATTTAGTATTTTCAGTATATTTAATTCAGTAATAATCTAAATTTGCAAAATAGCTTATCTACTAACCAAAGAAGCTAAAATGGAGCCACCAATCCATGAACTAAACCTCCGTTCGACTGTTGTATTATTTGCAATCAACTTCAACCGCATACTCTGAAACAGAGAGGGAAGAATAAGCATTACAACAATCAAAACAGTTAACTCAGGAAATTCAACTTTGACAACTTTTTTTTTTTTAACTTTGACAACTTTTCTAAAATTTATACAGTTGATTTTATCACATATTACACATTGTGGTTCAAACTGATTAAACATGGTAATTCTGAAACAGGCTAATAGTAGGAATAAGTTGGACTATTTCATAGAAAGGTGTTTTTTGCGGGGGGGGGGGGGGCAGTGGGTACTGGGGATTGAACTCAACCACTGAGCCACATCCCCAGCCCTATTTTGTATTTCATTTAGAGACGGCCTCACTGAGTTGCTTAGCACCCTCTCTTTTGCTGAGACTGGCTTTGAACTCATGTTCCTCCTGCCTCAGCCTCCCAAGCTGCTGGGATTACAGGTGAGCACCACCACGCSCAGCCATAGAAAGGTTTTTAAAGGTTTTTCTGATTATGGCTTTCAATGTGTAATATATGATAAAAATCAACAGTATAAACTTTAGAAAAGTGCATACTCAAAGGATGGCATTCACAATTTATATCCTATAATAAAAAAACATGTACTTAACATGATAAATTAGGTACTATGCTAACTCCTCCATATGGTATTTCATCCAATACCAAGTATAATTATCTCAACCTGCTCCCTTTTCCACAGTCCTCCCTTTCTAAATCTTCACACATTCAAATCCTTCCTTAGTTTACGTCAACCTTTCCAAATCAAAAAGCAGTCATCATCAGATCTCAGGTAAGTTTTCTATTCATACGTTCCAAATCAATTCTTCTGTTTTGAACTCCCCTGATAATTCTGTGGTTCAGTTATTATCCCCATCACCTATACTGAAAGATTTTTACCCCCATCTACGAATTTGCCTCTGAAGATAGTTCTCAAGTCGTCGTAACCTTCCAGTTATCCAATATATGAACTGACATATATTTGAGTTGTCCTCAAAATGAAATAAATTGTGTAAGAGAGATGGGGAAAGGAAAAGAAGGGAAATGGAGTGTGGGACATAGGAGGGCTGAACATGTGTAGGTGGGTGAGGAAAATCCCTATTTATGAGAATGGAATTTATTATTTTGTTCACTTTTAATTACAGTAGGTACTTAAAGGACAAAAATATTTTCTAATCAGTCATAAGCATATGTCGGGCCACCCATGACTATTCATTATTCAGGGACTTTGTATGAAATCTAGTGATGAATACTATATTTTAGGTTATGTTCTAAATCAGACTCTCTCTTAAGAATATAGTCAATCTTTAGCTACATCAACAGTCAAATAACACTTGTAATTATAAAATTATGGCATGTATAAAATATTCTTTATATGAGAAGTCAAAGACTGGTAAGTACATATGTCATTAGGGCCTAAGTAACTCCTCATAAGCGTCAGAAGAACACTTGATAGAAGTTTTAAAAATTAAAGATATGACTCCTATGTTGTTATTGATAGACCATGTAACTTACCTTTTCAAACCAAGTTCTGCTATCCTTTTAAAAGTTATCACAATGCACACAGTGATCTTTTAAAAACATACATATGAGCTCATAGTCCATTGCCAGATTTTAGTGTGTGTATGTTATTACTGTTAAATAAAATCCAAACTACTCATTAATATGACACACCTTGCTACCCATCTGTTGTGGTTTAAATTGTGTCCCCAAAAAATATACATTTAAAGTCTAATCCCTAGAACCTGTGAACATGAACTAATTTAGAAATAATTACCTCTTTGCAGGTATAATTAAGATATAAGATGAAGTCATAATGGTTAATCTAAAGAGACTAGTATCTTCTGACAATAGAAGTGCTGCAGCTATAAAGTAAGGATTGCTGGCAAACCACTAGAAATTATAAAGAGGAAAGGCTCCAATTGTTCAGAGGAAGAAAGAAATCTGATGACAACATGATTTCAGATTTCTATGCTTTAGAACTATGAGACAATAAATATGTTGTCTTTTTTTTCGAAGTTGGGGGGGTTGTCTGGGCACTGAACCCAGAGGGATTTTACAACTAAGTTACAACCCCAATCCTTTTATTTTGAGACAGTCTTAATTGTTTAGGGTCTCACTAAGTTGCCCAAGCCTTCAACTTGTGATTCACCTGCCTCAGCCTCCCAAGTTGCTGGTATTACATGCTTATACCACCACATCCAGTTAAATTTCTGTTGTCTTAAAAACACCAATTTATGGTACTTTGTGATAGTCACCCTAGGAAACTAATAAACCATCTTTATAGTCATATTATTTCCTCCACTTCTACATAGTCATAAACTGAATACTTTTTTTTTTAAGTTGTAGTTGGACACAATAACTTTTATTTTATTTATTTATTTTCATGTGATACTGAGGATCGAACCTCGCACATGCTAGGCAAGTGCTCTACCACTGAGCCTTAACCTCAGCCCCTGAATACTTTGATTTACTGGAACATGCCATCTTTTTTTTTTTTTTTTTTTTTTTTTTTGCTTTTTGCACATGGAAGTCTCTCCACCTATATGTCCTTTCATAAATTAGCAACCACTTGAACTTCTCTTCATTCAAATAACAGCTTCTTCATGAAGCTTTCCTCTGATACTCCTAGAGAGTTAAGTACTTGCTTCTTAGTTCAAAAGAGCACCTGATTCCAGGAATACTGAAGTACTCAGCACAATACAGTCATTAATTTTTTCATATCTAATCTTCCTAACGGAATGAGCCCTTGGTGGACAGGAACCATAATTTGTCTCCCTAGAGCCTGACTATTGACACTTAAGTATAAAGTTAAGGAGTTATACTGATTCAAATAATTTTAAGAGTAACCAAGAGATGTTATCTAAGAAATTTTGATTAATAACAGATATTAGTTTTAAACCATACCATTCAAAGCACACACAAAATAGCACCTACCTACTGACAAATGAACACTTACTATAAATTACACCATCAGTGAGTACACACATCACTGAAGAATAGCAATGAAGAACAACAAACAGTACTTACTGGGGGAGTTTTCTGAGAAAGCTCTCTATTCAACCTATCAGTAAAACTCTGTATTAACGTGTTTCCTCCTGCCACTATCACACTGCCATATAGACCCTAGGTTAAAAACAAGAAAAATATATTAGTTCCAAACATTTCCAACAGTTTTGTTATTATTTGATGCTGGGGACTGAACCCACTCTTCCAAGAGTTTGAAATATGACAACAAATAAAGCCAAATCCTCCAATATAATTTTCTCTTCCTTTCTGCTTTTGAAAATTTGTAATTTCTACGTAGAAGCAATTAACTTCAACCAGTGGGTCTCAATCTCAGCTGCACATTCAACTCACCTGGGGAGCTTTTATACTATCAATGCACAGGAACAATTAGATAAAAACCTCTGGGTATGGAATCCAGAAAAGGGTTTTGTTTATTAAAAAAACTCTCCATGTGACTAACATACACTAAGGTTTACAAAATGCTAACTTATAACAATTATTTTAAAAATCATAACTATTTGGCAGACAGCTACCAATATTTGTTTAGAGGTACACTATATAACTTCACCTTAGAATGCTCATCTGAAAGTTATGATATTGAATATTTAAAATTAGACAATTGAGATTATTTTATGATTATGGACGGACAATATCCTGGCCAGAATGACTGCTACCTTTCTCTTTTGCAGGGGTGTGCATCAAAACCACAGCAGTAGCTTTTTCAAAATACACGTAATGATGCCTCCCAAATAAAAACAAATTCTTATTTTTAAGAAATATATTTATACTTAATTTGCATGTATGCACCAAAAAGTTAAGTATCAACCTGGCTTCCTAGTGTCTAAATTCCTATTTTAAAAACTTACTCCAAATAACTACATCATCTAAGTTTTAAAACAGAAAATGGAATGTAAAAGCATTTCCTTTGCAATCAACATTAGATAAAAAAGAAATTTCACTAAACACAGAAAGTTATCACTCTTAGAGTGAATATACTTTAATTGCTTTTTTCCACCTATTAAGAGGCCCTGGATTTCCACTAAAAAGTTCCAAACTTATACTTCTTTTGTTGTAGAAGCAGCACATGCCTGCTAGGTCACTAGGTGAAATAAAGAATGATTTTCATAGTATCCCAAAAGCCTTTTTGAACAATAGTTTTTAAACATCCTTAGCTAATAGCATCATGCTCTAAGCAAATTAACTCAAAGAAAATCAAGGCAGTATGTGTTATAAACTGAATCTAGGTTTTAATAAAGTCTAATTAATCTAACAATTACTATCACATTAAATCAATAATACAGTATAGAATATGTAGTTAAGACTTGGCAAAGCACAAAACATGAAGATCGTCTAAAATGAACTCCATATAAGTTACAGAATTTAAACCACACCCTCCTGAAAAACAAGCACAGAAGCTGGGCTATATGCAAGAAAAATCATGAATTATATATATTTTGATTTTTCCACATTTTAGGAAATTTGTATAGCAACACTGTCCAAGAAAATTTTCTGTAATGATGAAACTGTTCAGAGTATATGCACTGTACAATGCTGTAGCCACAAGCTACATTTATACTAGTATTAGTACAATTGAATAACTGAACTACTGTTTATTTAATATAACTTGCCATGTGTGAATAACAGCTACCATAGTGGACACTACAATGCTAGAATTTTTCATTTTTCCTTTCCTAGTATTTCATCTTTTTTTTTTAAGAGGCATCAATGTTTTACTAACTTATAGGCAAATACTAAAATAGTCAATAATACCACAGAGTACAGCATTTACATATGCCATTATAAAATGGATTTCACAGTCAATAGTCAAAAGCTGCCAACCTAACAATGATCTGGAGGCATTTCACTGTTCTAAAAGATACCCTTGTATTGTAACAAGAGACAGTCACTTACTGGTCTGATATCAATATCACACATTCCAACACTTGTAGTGACAACATGACTGACTCCTAACATTGTATTTCCTGAGAGCCCCTAGAACAAAAAAAAAAAATATTCACATGGAAGGACTTCATACAGTAAAGGATAACCCCCCCCCCCAATTTAGTGTTATTTAGGCCATATAATCACACAAGCGCTTTACATTTATAAGAAAAGCTAAGTTAGTTATGAAACAAGTTTTCATACCTTTACATTGGAAGGGTCAAATAAGCCTTCAGGAATTTTTAACCGTTCTGCACCAAAATCACAGTTGTAGCCATTGGGGAATTCATAATGAACAGTAGGCATCTGTGCAGCTACTCTGAAAATTACAATAAACAATATTATACAAAAAGCAAAAAACAGTCCTCTTCAAAATTATAAACTACKAAGGAATTATCAATTTTTAAGAAATTGGAGAATATTTTAAAACATTATTCAGTATTATCTCAACATAACATTATACCTTCAGACTGATTAACCACATTCTACAATTTTCTTTAATACTAAAAATTCTTTCCTCATTTGGGAAATATACTTTTTAAATAAGAAAACTTACTGTTCATCATAAGTTGAATCTGACACTTGAAGTACTGACGCTTGAAAATCCTGGATAACACACTATGGATTTAAAAAAAATATTCAAGAAACAAAGTTAAGATTTGTCTTTATAATCTATACTTTTATATAACATTATAATTTAAAATATGCTTCTGAATGAAATTAGACCATATTTCTGGAGGGGGTAAGTCATTTCAAGAGTATGAATCTAACAAGCAAAGACTCTTCAATCCTTAAGAAGCCAAATTACAAGTTACATTTTGGAACAATGACAACTGATTTTAAAAAAACAACCAGGAACCTTTGTACCAGAGTCCTGCATAACTAAACTAGTTTCAGAACATCAATTTTTTCCTTAAAATTTCATTATCTGAATAAAACCATATATGTTATATCTTATGTTAATTTTCAATGACTGCACATGGCATAAAATAGTTAAAAAATTTTGCTATAAAATATACACGACCTCTGTGTTAAGGAAAATTATTGTCTAATATCTTGGCCAAATTATTMATCATCTTCACAATTTTTCCCTGTACTAAAACATACAATCTTTAGGTGCAAAAAATATATCAGGATACATCTCTCTCATACTAAATTATGACTTTCACGTTCTTTTACTGTTAAAAATTATTATAATATGGATCTGTAGAGTGACAGATTGTTTTATTAACTCCTCTCATACAGAGACCTATATTATGTGATATTTGTTCAGAGATGAATTTTTGGTAAAGAATCTCTCATCAATTTACTGCAATGAATAATCACACATGCTTCTGACATGGCTGATTAACACTGGGAAAGGGAATGTAACTGAACCATACCAGCAGGTCTCTACAAAAAATTAAAAGCAAATTATTTCTGCCCTAAACCCAAAATTCTTTCCAGGTCTCACCATGGTAATCCAAATGATACATAATAGTTTTGTAGATATCTGGCTAATATGGTTAAGAACCTTTCAATCCAAAGCTTTATTCAGTTTGTTTTTAAAATATCATTAAAAACATAGAGCTTGAGGCTGGGGTTGTAGCTCAGTGATAGAGCACTTTCCTAGCACATATGAGGAACTGGGTTCAATCCTCAAGAACACATAAAATATATAAAATAAAGACACTGCGTCCATCTACAACTAAAAAAAAATTTTAAAAAACAGCATGAAAATATAATGTGTCCATATTCTATTCAAAGATTTTAGCCTCTACATGTTTCTAAAGAGAATAGGGTTACTTACATTACACATGTAGTTATGCCATGACCTTGTAACCTGTGGCAACTTCTCTTTTCTTTTCCAGTTTGCTGGAGATCCTTCACGGACAGCTTCCTGATAGCAAGAGCATATGCTAAATTAACAGAGTCCATAACACAGGTCTGAAGAGTTGGGGATAAATTTCACAAGGAAAATCCAATCGTTCCTTACTTTTGATGCAATCATATATGGAGGAATCAATTCTATGTTCATTTCTTGGAAGAGTTCTCTGCACTGCATAGTAATAAAATCTCCAGCAAGAGGGGATTTCACAATGCCTGAGACAGATTTAACAGGACTAAGAGATCTGTAAGTTCAAACTCCTAGGGACAAATTTCTTCTGGGAGTGCTTACATATGAATAATTTTTTCAGGGAGAATTAACTGAACTATCCTTCAAAGCACAAATAAAGCTAGGCATCAGTTTTAAACAAATGTACTAAAAATTTTTTTTTTAAAACTTGGGTTTAAAAAACTAGGCAAAATTTAGCACTAGACCCCTGCCCACTAATTGCCTAGCATTTGTGAGACCTTGGATTTGATCCTCAGTGCACACCCATAAAAAACTCCCAAAAAAACCTCAGTGAAAGACATTACTTGGAAACTGATGCTTCATCAGTCCAATCCACTGTCTAACTTCAACATTTGTGTCCTCATAACATCCCAAATCATCTCAGCACACCCTGGTAAAATACAGTTACCTTGCTGAAGAACATAGCCATCGTGGACTGGAATTGCAGTGGTATGAGTGGCTCCACTGTCCAAAATCAGACCAGTAGAACGACCATTAGCAAATCTAGTTTAAAGCATTAAGGAAAAGAAAGTAACAAGATTCCTAAACTAATATCTATTGCAAAGGGCAGGCTCTCATAAAGTTTCAGAAGCCACTTTGAAAACATGCATTATCATTTAAAATGTGTTAAAAATAAATCTAGGGATGAAAATTGGTTTCAAATAATAATTCTAGTTTTAGAAACAAACTATATAGGCAGGAATTCCAGATTGGCTCTATGAGAAACTCAAGGAATCATTTCTAGGGTCAAAATTAACAAAATCTTTGGAAGTTGATCAAAGGGGTCTTATGACAAAGTGAGATGTATTTATAATAAAATTTACAAAAATCTGGAAAGAACAGTGGAAGGCTGTGAGATGTGACCTAAGGATTACAACCATTCTCACATAGCACTGGAAGAATTAAATCAGCAGTTTGGTAACAAAGTGGTGGTACCTGTCCTCAACTCAATGAGAGAGAAGAGTTAGTCCAGGTGAACTCAACATTTTCCACAGCAGATCACATTTTCCACAGTTCTATGCTGCAAAATGCCTATTTAAGTGAACATCTTAAATTTATGTTTAAAAGTAGAGCCATTCTCTGGTTCACCAAATACCTACTAAGCATCTATTACATGCTTATTGAATCTTGTGCTTAGTAACATGTCAGAGGGAGGAAAGGTGACAGGAAGAAAAGAAGGCAGACAGGTCAGCTTGCCACTAACATTCTTTCAACATGAAAAAATGTGTAAAGGTGAACCAAAACTGCCTCTACTCTGAAGGATATCCTGTTAGTAGAGATGAGTTTTGCTGTAAAGAATAAAACTCAGGATGTCCTGAGGAGTAATAAGAGAAAGACCGCCTAACCCAGCCCTGGGAATTCAACTGTAAGCTGGAAAGGATGCATGGGCAGGGGAAGGAGGAGTTTGTAGAAGGACTGGCAAGAGAACATGGTGAGGTCAGGGAACTGTAATTAATTTAGCACAGCTGGAAAGCAGAATGAGAGAAGGAAATGTGGAAGATGATCCTAGGTTAAAGCAGAAAGGTTACTTCAGAAAGGTTATTAGAACTGAGATATAAAGAATGGGCAAGACAAGAGGAGGTGTTGCAATATTCCTAGAAATAGTTTACACCTAAGGCAGTGGCAGTGGGACAGAGAGAAACAAATGGATCTAAAAAACAACAGGGAAAAAGAATACATGGGTCTTCATGACAAATACGTTTGAATAGTTGAAGAGGGAAAAAATACCAGCTTGAACATAAAAAATGGATGGATGAATGAATTATGGATTTTTTTTAGAAACATATACTAAAATTTTTTAGAAATATATACTAAAGTTTCTACTGATAAAATAATATAATCTGGGATTTGATTCAAAATCAGTGGGAGACAGAACTTAGCTAACGTGTTAAAAACAGTAAGTTGGGTGATGAACACATAGGGGTGCATCATAATATTCTATCTCCTATTTGAAATTTCCTATAACTGAAAGTTACAAATAAAAGGCCCAATTCTATTTACACACTCCTTGCAAAGAATCAGTCAGATCTATATTCAATTTCAAGACTGCCATTATCAAACTGTGAACTTGGACTAGTTTGCTTACTTTATGACTTCATTTTCTGGCAGTTATTATGAAAATTAAGTAAGAAACATAAAATGAATCTACTAATCTTCTCTCCTTCCTCTACTCAAAATCCCACAATAAACTTGAATTTAAAGCTCAGATTTTTAAATCCAACATGCAAGGCCTCTATATACAGTTTGACTTAAAGCTATTTTTATAATTCCCTCTGAAGTTTAATATATATCTTCAATTATTAAACTAAGTCACAGTAATGAACGCTTATGCTTTCCACTTCCGCACTTTTGTTCAAGTTACCTCCAAGACACAGCACTATAGACAATGGTTAGATAACATTTAACACAGTGATTCTCAAATATATAAAAACCACTTATTTGAAGATTATAGCAAGCCAATAAGGTATACAGGATAAATAAGTAAAAAGCAAAGCTCAAGATCACATATTTATAAGCAGTGCAGCYAGAACTCTAAATACAGGGCTCATTCCTCTATCTCATGCAACTAAATTCTATTTACAAAGGTTGTTATTATGGTCCTCCTCTGAACAGTTACAATTATTGTATGAAATACAAATTCATCAGGTCCTTCTTTATGACTTAGAAACATATACTAAAATTTTTTAGAAACATATACTAAAGTTTCTACTGATAAAATGTTATTTTGAAGTACTATTTAAATGTTATGTAGCTTTTTTTTTTTTTTTTTTTTTTGCTTGACAATTCCCTACTTTCATTTTAGCTAATAGGTAGTTAATACTTGTCAGCTTGCACATTTTACTATCCATTATTATGCTAAAAATTCTGGTGTGTTATCTTTTATTTCTTGACATACATACACACAAAAGGATAAAAAGTATATTCACTTAGAAAAGTTGACTCCAACCAAAAATGCAAAAGAGGTTTCAAAGAACTTAGATTTCCTGGTATTCCACTCCTAATCCTAAGGTAGAAATAATGCATTTTCCACTTAACATGCCCACATTTCTGACACAGGCTAAGTGGATGGAAGAAAACTGAAGAGTCCCAAGTAAATATAGGAAGCCACAACAGAGAAACCTAAGATTTATCAGAAACAGTGTTAAGTGGGCAACCTCTAATCCTACCTGTGGGTTTCTCAGTCTGAGTCCAACCTTCACAAAGCACCTTCAAGAACTGGACTACCCAGTAACAGGTATGGCAGTAAGTCTGGTAGGATGGATACAAGAACCATGTGAATAATGGTAAAAGATTTATCAAGGTCCAGATGCTGAGACATCCCCTTGTGTCCCACAGTTCAAATAAATAGTTGAACCCTAGGTAGTTTTCCACTTCTTGGCAGATGGTTGCTCAAACACATCTCGTACTCCAGCTGCCTTTTCTTTAAAGAACTTTGTGTTCTGGGCACTCTCTTGGCCCCATGCTGAGTCGAAGAAGGTGGTATCTTGATCCACAAGGTGGGTGGGTGTATATGGTATGACCAAAMCATCCAAAGTTCTTGACTTGCATGACCTTAGGAAGAATGGTTTTGTTGAAATAATCCTCCAGGGTAGGTGCACTAAAATCTCTCTTGTATACTTTCTTATCCTCATCAATGAAGAAGGCACCCTGGTGACGGTACTTCTCTGTAAAAACTTGTATTTTCCTTTAACACTTTTGTTGGTGATGACTTTGCCATTTGCCTGAAGCTCAGTCAGGTTTCACATGTGTGCAATTTCTGCTTTCTTCTTTTTATGCGCTTCTCTGTCTTCTCTGTCCTTCTTGAGCTTTCAAACTTTCCATGCCTCATACTCCTCCTCATCATTTTCACTGTCAGTACTGAGTATATCCAGTGCAGCCAGGAACACTTGTTTTCCTCCAGCTCTTTCTTGGTCTCCTCTTCTACAATTTTGAGTGTGTAATTTCGCCTCCCTTCAGCCATGGGCTTTGCTCCTTGCTCCATCTCTTTCAGTTTCAATGCTTCAGCCTCACATTTTTGAACTGTCATTTGGTCCTTCTTTCGAATAAGACTGGCGTAAAGCGAGGTTCCATCTCATCTTCATTGTATGTATAATCTTCATATTCAGACTCTGATTCTGACTCCTCCCCAGAACGTTCTTCATCTTACACCTCCATGACTTCCATCTCTTCATTTTTTTCTCTCCTGCCCTCATTGACACATCATGCCATGGTGCAGCTCTACATCCTCATAAATATTTTCCTCTTTTTCTTCACTGCTATCTTCTTGTTCCATGCACCAAGCATCTCCTACTTCTGAGTCACTTTCTCCTACCACTTTAGGTTTACTATTTTGGGATTTTGGGCCAATCTCTCTTCCACATCTTCACGATTCTATAAATGCTGCAGCCAGGGGTCACTAGATGAATCCTCCTCCTGTTCCTCCAGTTGTGCTTCTAGTTCTTGGGTTTTCTTAATGAACTGAAATTCTTTATCCTCCTCATCTGAAGACTCCATGGGGCATAGTCTGGCTTCTTTCTAGATACATAACGTTTTACCTTTACCTTTTCCATTGAAATCTCACCATTCTCACTGCGAACCAGTATGGCCCCAGCCATAGACTGAATGGGCAATTGCTTCATGAGTGCGACCAACAAGTTGACTGTAGCAGTGGTGATTCCCAAATCTTGACTGATTCCAAACAGTGAACACTAACAACCCTTATTTAGCTTTTAACAAGAATATTTGCATTACAAATTCTTTGAGTTAGGACATATTTTCCTGTGTGCTCTCCTTCATGTCTTACAATAAATATCTGATAAATGAGTAAATATTAAATGAATTTACAGTCAATTTCTCATTATCTGATACTAAAGGAAAGGGAGAAAATGGCAAACTCAATTTAAGCCAGCTAGTTAAAACACTCCTATTTATTCACATTCCCCTTCCTAGACACAAACACACAATACACATACACACACCCATTAACAAGCAGGATTTAAGGGTTACTTTCCTATTTTCCTCTCAGATCGTCTGGTATTCCATCAATTCTGATAAGAAATACTACAAGAATGGATAGCTTTTAAAAAGCAAGAGAAAAGGAAAAAAAAAAAACTTTTGAATAAGCAAGAATTTTCTCATATCTTCTGATGTTATTTAGTAACATCACATATATTCTAGAGAAAAGATGAGTATTATTTTTTTAAGGATACGCTGTCAAAACTGCAGTTTTGCAAAGGAAGAATGCAGGGATGTTGTAGTGTTCAAACATTAGTTCTGTCAGTTTCTCTCTCTTTGCTCTAGTATTCCACTTGAAAAAAAAAATCCAAGTTATTTATTGTTTAAGAATTAAAATATTGCTGTATCTCAAGCTATAAAATAGCACTATATATTTTTTTAAATAGCCCTATTAACAAAGATGTGAAACATTAAAAACAATAAAACAGTATATATAAGTAATCTTGCATAATTTCTCCTTGCAATATTTATTCATTTGTAAATATATTAAGTTCAATAAATACAACAGATGTTACAATTTATTATTTAATAGGTAAAAGTGTCAATTGTTATGAATTCTAGAAATTATACTTATTCAAAATATGAATTTTAAACTATAAAATTCTCCCACTTAAGCTTGGTCTCATAAAATAAACCAGAAGTCAGAAACAATAATGATGTTGAAAATCTATAATCATTATGTGCACCCCTGGGACATTTTGTCTATGTATCAAATGTATTCATGACAGACTTCAGTCTAGAAATTTCTAGCCTTCATTCATCATTGGACCTCTCTCTTAGAGATTTAAATATAAAAGTAGATATACAGTGTCCTAGGGATAAAAGGGATGATTCACAAATCAAAATGGGAAGGGAAATCAAATGTTTAACAAATCCCTAAAAAAACAAATAACCACAAGAACCCATTGAGACATTTTAAAAAACTCTTTGAATATTTTATTCATCAAAATAATAAGTTATAATCATATTTAAAAATTAATCTCATTTTCCTTAATTTTGAAATTCAAAATATGAATTTCTATGCCTCTTTAAAGAAAAAGGAAATAATTTTCAAATGAGTAGAAAACTAAAGAGGAGAAAAGCAACTAAAGAAACTAGGAAAAGAAAGTCTTTGCTCACCGGTGCTTCTGACATAAGAACAGGATGCAGGCTGGCTTCTGATTTGACATGCATTTTATAGGTATGATCCAAAATAGCCTGGAAACTATCCCAGTCTTCAACTAGAATATAAAATTAATAGCTTGATACAATGCTTAAAGATGAATACTGCATCCTTAGACTGTTTCTATAACTTACCAAGTAATACTTTATAAATATACAGACTGACTTATTTTATAGACCAACTTCATAACTTTATAAAGAGCCCATCTTTGTTTTTTAGCCATGACGTATAACCTTTTTTGATCCCTCCAACACTCAGATCTGTTGCAATATAATTATCTAGTAGACTTACAATATCAAATAAATGTTATCAGTAAGTTCTTATCGGTCTATGATCAAAATACAAAATAACCGAATGATCTGGACCCAACATTTAAAAAGCTTATGATCTATTTGGATAAAGAAGATTAAAAGATGTTTTAAAAATCTGAAGAATGACATTATGTCCTCAATTTGGAATCTACTTAAACATTCCACTAAAACTCCTCACATATTGTAGGCAATTCCAGTTGTGCTACAGCCCAAGAAGAAATGTCATTACATTACACTGAATGATACAATATACTTTCACCAGGACTGGTTGTGTTGAGTCAATGAACTTAAATTGATAGCTTTAACTTCTCTCTCCCCTTCTTAGTGAAAACCATAATGTMACACCTGGGAATGCTGAGAATCACTGAACTTTTACGCTTCCATAATCTTTTTCTTTTCTTAACTTTCTTAATTTTTTCTTAATTCTCTGTCTCTTTGAATTGTCCTTCATATTTATCTCATTGGTTAATTACAGGATAAGTTTTTACTAAGTACTCAATCTTCAACTTTCTTCTCATATTCCAAATTTTTTTCTGGGTAATACAATGTAACTCATATCTTGAAACCTTTCTTATAAACTTTTATTCACCTGCTTAATGAATTATTACCTGAAAGTCATAAACACTTTGAACTCTATGAATTCATTTACTTGCTATGCAGAAGAGTTAACATAGCAAGCAGGGTCCTTAGCTGATGTCTGGGAACTTGACTGGTAAATAGTTGCCTACATAGATACAAAACTTTCCCCATGTAAAGAGTAGCTCATTGTGCCTAAACTGCTTACATAAACAACATTTTATGCTGAACATCTGCTTTTCTTCTGGGAGTTAAATTTTGGTACATGCTAATCAGATGATACCTACATGACCAGTCCAAAATAAAAACTCCTGGAAAATAGTATGAGTATTATTACTTGTTGCTTAGGATTAAGCAAATCCTGTGTGACTTCACTCTGAGAAGATTCTTGGAAGCTTGCACCTAGTTTCCTCTAGACTTCAGTCCCTGCTCCCCTTCCCTTTGTTGATTTTTTTTTTTTTAAGAGAGAGTGAGAGAGGAGAGAGAGAGAGAGAGAGAGAGAATTTTTAATATTTATTTTTTTTAGTTCTCGGCAGACACAACATCTTTGTTGGTATGTGGTGCTGAGGATCGAACCCGGGYCGCACGCATGCCAGGCGAGCGCGCTACCACTTGAGCCACATCCCCAGCCCCCCTTTGTTGATTTCATTTTGCATCTTTTTGGAATAATAAATCTTAGATTTAAATACAACTACATGCTGAGTCCTATGAATCCTTCTGGTGAATAAACAATCTAAGAACGATTTTGCCTTTTAAGACCACAAAACTTTCTCCCTCTTTTCTATTCCTATCTCAGTGCATGGTAACATTCATATCTTCAGTAACCTCATCTTCAGTTAACATTCATCTTCAGTAACCTCAACCAAAAATCCAGGACAATTTTATTCCTTTTTATCTTATCCTTTTATCCCTTCAGTCACTTAGTACTATCCAGGATTATACTTAATCCTAGATTTCCTAAAATTCACTTCAAGATCTCCACCATCAGTGTTACAGCTTAAACCCTTTTCACTTCTCATCAGACTCTTACCTCTCCTAACAAACTTGAAGCTAGTATTTATGTCCCTTTAATCTAGCCTGCCTATTGTTAAAGCAATTTTTCCAAGTGGCAAATAAGAGGACATCACATCTCTGAGTAAATTCCTATGGGACTATCCTTCAGTTAGTATGTAATAAGCTCCTTAGGGTGATTTCCAATTGCTGTCTACCTTTCCTCCTACTGACTCTAACTCACACAATGTTGTAGCCATACTTAATTATGTGACGTTTCAAAACATGTCAGTTTCTTTCACAAATCCATCCCTTTACACATGTTAGTCCCTCTGCTTTACCCAGCCTTGTCACTTAAGCAAATTCTTATTCACTGATCAAGACTCAGGACAAAAATAACCTCCTTTGAGAAAATTGTCACTGATGCCCAATGATAGAATTAAACACCTCCTCTCTAATCCCATAGCTTATTGAGCACACCTATATAGTACTTACTTGACAGTATACCGTATTTGTATGTATACATCAATCTCTCTCTCCTACCTAGAGTTTTTTAAAGAAAAGGAATATTTTCTATGCATTTTTGTATACACAGAGCCTGTAACATTGTAGAATAAATAAAAAACATACATAGTTTATATCAAATTATAAGCAGCTACTGCTTTATATCTAATATGTATAAATGCACACTTTTAAAAAATCAAATCCATAAGAAAAATATCATACCCATTCCATTTTTTAGTGGTGAAATGGCCTCCATGTTTTCTCTTGGAACACGCAGGGCATTAGTATCTATGTAGTAGGTGGGACCGCCTTGTTTACCTTTATCACCATCTATTTCCATCAATGTGCTTCCATCATCTCTTTCTACCACCATACCAATAGCTGTAGGAAAATCCACCTTCAAGAGTCAAAAAGATTACATGAGCTTTCATGTGCTTTTATTAAGGAATCTCCAAAAATGCCATGTTTGTTTTTTTAATGTGTGTGTGTGTGTATATATAAAACCCAGTGCCTCACCTGTTCTAGGCAAGCACTCTACCAGCCCCTCTATATTTGTTTTGAATCAGAAATTCTGCATGAAATTAATTTTATGTAAACAGCTCTTACAAATCCAACCAATTCTAACATTACCTTGGGACAGTCCTCACCAGCATAACCAGCTCTCACAGTATAGGATCCAATGTCAAAAACAAGGGCTCCAACTTCATCTGAAAAGATTAAGATTAAACATAATTAATATTAACAAATTTTAAGTAGCATATGAAATTAAAGGTGTACCTAATATTAGACTGTATGTAAAACTACCTAAAATTAATTACATTCATATTATTACTAGTTTGATCCTAGTAGATTCATTGAATTAAAATATAAAAACTTTTACACTATGTGTAAATAGAGGTTCAATCAGGAAAGAGATGGTACACTAAAATTGGGTAATGTGAGTTTACTTATTAAAGAGACTATTTATAAATACATACCCATGGTATAGAAGGACAACTAGAAGGGACTGTATAGTACCCTAGGACAAATGAATTAGCTGCCACCTTTGAAACTGAAGAAGGAGGAACTGTTATCAGAACCTGGAGAAAGTTGTGTGGGAAAAGCTACCTGACAGATGCTATGGTGACCTTTTAGCTAAGGGATGTGGTCAGCTATGGCTGAACCACTTGAACCAGACTAAGAAACATGCCAACCTCCCCACAACCCCATCAACCACAGTGACCCTATAATTTATCAGTCAAATTTGGACACTTCTAAATGCGAAGGGGAGCCCTTTCAATAATAATACCAAGATAAGAAGCCCAGCACAAGAAGTATGGTTACCCTGCTATTGGGCTAAATCCAAAAAAAAAAAAAAAAAAGCCAGAGACCAAGAAACCTACTGACACAGTCTACAAAGGTAAAGAGAGGGTAGAAATAGGTAGAAAATGGACCCGGTAGGGCAAAGGAACGATACCCATTACTCTTGAGTATCATCCTATCATATATTTAGACATATTTCATGCGATTAGTGAAGAAACTTAGGGAAACTTCAAGCAAATTAGGGGCCCTGGAGAATAAGAGTTTAAAGTGTAAATTACACAGTCCAAGTAAAAATCATTAAAGTTTGCTTATTTCAGAGATTATTAAAGGTAAAGGTTAATGTTGAGGAACAAAGCTGGTAAAATCTTCCCCATAGTCAAATTAGTGAAAAGCCTCTAATTATACTTAAAAAAATACTTCACCCAAAACAGTAAGTTGGGGGTAGGGATATAGCTCAGTTGTCAGAGTGCTTGCCTCGCATGCAAAAGGCCCTGGATTCAATCCCCAGCACCACCAAAAAAGTAAGTCACTTAGAACAAAGCTCTTTGTTTTTTTTTTTTCCAAGTGTGATTTTTCAAAAGATTTTGTCAATGTGTACAAATAATATTTACCATTATTAAACTGGCAAAATTATAATAAGTCTGATAAGATAATTTTATATGTACACATACAATTGCTCATATCCTCAAAAAATCCTCTCATGTCACAAAGAGACATGTTCAAAAATGTTCACTACCTATGTGAACTTGAGCAATGACTAACCTCTCTGCCTCAGTCTCCTAATTTGTAACATGCGTATAATCATTCCTATTTCATAAATGCTATAATCATGCATTAAATGCACTAATATACATAAGCACTTAAAACAGTACCTGACATTACAATAAGTATTAGCCACTTTATAATTATTATCATCATACTGCTTGCCATGGGAAAAGGCAAAAATAATTTAATGGTCTCTCAGTAGGGAAATGGCTATTCATAGAGTAGAATACTATACAGCAGTTAAAGTGGTCTATAGCTACATGTATCAACATGGACCCATCACTAAAGAACGCTTAGTATTTTTGTTGCTGCTGCTGTTTTACAATGTTGGGGTCAAAATCCAGGGCCTCACACATGGTAGGCAAGTGCTCTACCACTAAGCTATATACCTCCAACCCCAAAAGTGCTTAAGTTTTAAAACCTAGTTACAAATATACACATGCACACGTCATGATACCTTTTAATTTAAGGATGCACACACAAGTAGTAAAAGCATAAAAATATGCATGGGACTGGAAATGTTACATCCCAATTTCAGTTCAGTGGCTAGCTAAAGGAGCGGGGAGTGGAAGATATAAAATCATAAACTACTCATATAATTGAAAATTATTGGAAAGCACTGGAAGATAYAGATTATGTATAGACACTTAAAGAGAAAGGCAAGACAATCCCAAACTTGACAGTGTGTGTTCATCTTGAGGAATCACAGCTATCGATTAGATGCCAAAACACTAGATGAGGAAGAGAAATGGTTTTACACAGTTCTGAAGACAATATAGAAGATGGAAAAGCTGTAGTGTCTCCATCTGACAAAACTAAAAATGACGATAATATTATGGATTCAATTTGTAAGGTCATAGAAAGGAATAAAATTAAAAGAAAGTGGGGAAAAGGAAATTCTTCTGAAAATGAATCTTTCTGGTTGGCAGAGCTCAATTAAGCTTTCCTTATCTAGTGGAACAAAGACTAACCTCACCAGCSAGTCATCTGTATCAAATCTGCCTGTTTCTCCAGGATCACTTGGATCCCCAAGATCTCCAGGCTCTCCTGGATCTGTCCCTTAGAAGACATCTCAGATGGCAGTTATTACCACAAAGAGAAGATACTGGGTGTGGTATATTATCAAGATAAGGGGGGAGGAAAATGATGAGGATGAAGGAAGACAGGCTACCATTGTCAAAGAAAGTAAAATCTAAGTCATAAAAAATGGCAACTACCTATGATCAGTATCTGGTGACAAAACTAGTTCTCTACCCCTCTCTGATACTAAATCCACAACAAAGAACAGGGGTCTGTTCCAAATGATTGATACCAATCAGTCTTGCATACGTGACTTCTGTTCATCAGTCTAATTCAATGGAGCAGAATTAATGATAAATTTAGGGAAAAGACTTAAGCCTTTGAGCTCTCTAGCTTAGACTACACATTGCCCTTTTCTCAGGGAAAATGGAAACAAAAAGCCAACAGGATAGGGGTTTTGTAAATGGAACTACAGATTGACTGGTCAGCCGCTACAATAAGACCATGCTCTCTTGGATCATGTTTGAAAGAAGAATGGGCCTTTCTATGATAGTTCTTCTCTAAGAATTCTAACAATTTCTTTGTATAAAGAAATTTGCCTTTAAAGTCATACATTCTGAACATTTCAGTCAAGCTACAACAGGTTTGGAAAACATCTCTGGGGAAGGGGAAAACACAAAGTTTCCTCTCTCTTTTTTTTTTTAAATACCTTTATTTATTTATTTTTTATGTGGCGCTGAGGATCAAACCCAGTGCCTTGCATGTGCTAGGTGAACGCTCAACTGCTGAGCCACAACCCCATCCCCCAAAGTTTCCTTCTTAGTCTGTTCCCTTTGCTCTTTAAACTGAAGGTTTTTTTCCCTCTAAATTGGGGATCTGTACCCACTTAAGATTGAGTGGAATTCTAGATGTGATCATTTGTGTCATAACTTTAATTTTGTTTTTGACTTTTTCCCCCTCTCCTGAGTGTATTCTTAGCCACAGCATATATAAATTTGGGACCATTAAAATTTTTTGATGTAATATAACCTATCTGTATTATATCACAGTTCTTAATCTGTTTAGAGTTTTATGAAAGATGGTATAGTTTTTATTAACAAAAGCAAAGTAATCTTTCAATTATGTACATACAAAAGCAATACTGTTTTGTGACAAAATACTTAATATTAAAATTTATATCAGCAACTGTTTTGAGATTTCAGGGAAATAGAGTGAAATTTAAAACTTGGTTTTGTTACATCTAAAGACATGAAGTTAGGACTTCAAAGAGATTCTGAAATTTCTTATCTTGAGGAAATGATGGTATATTCAATCAAAATTGAGTGGTTTTAAAATGATATTATTGACTTCTGAATAAAAAAGAAAAAAAGGAGAACCTATATATCAACATCTTTTTTCTTAAAATATCTGAGGCAAGTGTAAAAAATAACACATACATATTTGATTCAGTACTAAGTATAAAAGTATCACATAAATACACATCTATAATTTTTATTTCTTGATGTTTTAAATATTTCAAAAAATTTAATTAAAATAAAAATCAATTATTACTTTATAAATATTCACAGCCGAGAGATGTGAGCTTTTGCAAAATGATTCCATTTTTATTTAAATTAAAAAAAGGCACTTATTTTAATTTCTAATTTGAAAGAAAGTTATTACATTAGTTACATTTCCCAAAGTAAGAAACCCTTCTCTATAAAATTCTGTTTCAAATTATTGGGAACCCCATGTTAGAAGCCCCTCCCCTAAATTTACCCTTTCCTAGCTAATCTATCCCACTCCTATGGCTTCAACTTCTACTTAAATATGAATAATCCCAATCTCCATCTCTCTCTCAAATTCTAACTACTCCCTAAACTTCTTACTGTACATCAACATCAATCTGCCACCACCAGCATATCTAAAGCAACACCTCCTTTTCTCCATCTAGCTTAACTTATTCTCAGCATCATCCCACAGCCAATATCCCCAGTACTCAGAGGCAAAACTTGAGAGTTGTTGTAAACACCTTCATCTTTCAAGTTTTGCCAAATATTTGTGCTAAACATATCTCACAGTCCCTCCTCTTTAATACCATTGCCACTGCCTTCAATCAATCTCTTACCTCAATAGGAAGCTACAATTTCGTATGGGAATTATGTTTCCATCTTTTCACCTTCTCAATCCACCCTTGAACTGCTGCACTGTGACCTTTCAAAATTGTAACTGATCATTTTGTTACATTAGTTCTTCAATGAAAATAAAAGGACACATCATTCAGTGGTTTCTCAGCACTTRCGTGATAAAATTCTACCCTCACTTCTTACCTCAGACACTAGTATTACTGAATTATATGTTGTCTCCTAAATACACCATGCATTCTCATTCAGCTAATCTTAACATGTATTCTCGGTCTACTCCTCCTCTATCATTCCCATTACCACTCTTGTAAATTCCTCTGCTCCCTTACACTGAGTTAATGACTTTCTTGTCTGTGCTACTGAAAATACCTCATTGAATTAGTTATCATTTCTCATCAATATAAGATGCCCATTATTTCAAGTATCACTAAGGAAAAAACATACTGCCAACTAAACAATACCACTTCATTGACACTGACACATTCCAACTTCAGCTATATAAGTGTAAAAAAAAAAGGACAACCAAGAATTTATGAAGTATGTATAGTAAATATCTGTTTACCTAATTGACCCATCTATAAGACTGAGCTTCTTGAAGGCAGAGCCTGCAACTGACATAAAGGAAACACTCAAAATAATTTGTGTGAAATGAAAAATCTAATGTATCAATATTCCTGACTTAATTAGTTTGGTAAATTAGATATATGCAATTTTAATTTGAGTAGTAAATTCTGTTCATTTTCCTTTTTGAGAATGGGTGATATGTCTAATTCCTGAAACTTATTTTGTTATGAGGGTATAGTTCAGTGGTGGAGCCCTTGCCTAACATGTGAGGCTCTGGTTTAATACCCAGCACTGAAAAAGGACCAACCACCAATGAACCCATTGGAGGAATGGTAAAGGGAGACCAGAGGCTTAATATCTAGGATGGTTTAAAAATCTAGGATGCAATCTCCAAAGGATAAAAATCCTCAAGAGTTGAATTCCTTTTCTTTAAAAATGTTTATTTTCATATTTTGAGAATTTTGTGCTTTTTCCTCAGAATAAATGCTTCCAAGTTTACGGGTAATGTGATTTCCGGGGAAACATGAAGAAATAATGTGAGTTTTGACTGGTTCTTAAAACATTCCAGTGCAATCTGAAGGCTAATGACTTTAGGAGGAGGTAGCAAGTTTTAATTTTTGTTTAAACCAGGGTGTTCCCAGGATTCGGGACCAACTTATACGGACAATGATTTTGAGAAATATTTAAGGTTAAAGATTCATGAAGAAGGGGCTGGGGATGTGGCTCAAGTGGTAGCGTGCTCGCCTGGCATGCATCGGCCTGGGTTTGATCCTCAGCACCACATACAAASAAAGATGTTGTGTCCGCTGAAAACTAAAAAATAAATATTAAAATTCTCTTTCTCTCTCTCTCTTTAAAAAAAAAAAAGATTCATGAAGAAAAAGGTTAAAAAAAATGATGAAACTAACAACTGATGAAAGTTAGGCTAGTAGTATACCTGTTTATTTTTATCATGTGAAGGAGYTGGAAGAAGAGAAGAAGTACCATGAAAGATGGCTGCAAGAGTAGGACCAGAAACCAGTTACAAATTATCAGTCACAAGTAATCAGTAGAAGAAAACAGGCATAAATTTTAAAAATTTAAACTACAAATGTCTTTTTAAATAAGCAATCAGGTTAAAAATACAGTTTAAGTTAATTACTCAAAATTCAAGTGGAAGGTTTAGGTGGTTTTCACAGTAAACTTTGGAAAATGACTCATAAATATTATACCTACAATGGTAGCTCAAACACAAATCAAACTTATGAGTTTTAAATACTATATACACAAAACAGTCTTTCAGATATATTTCTCTATATAAACCAGTAAGAAGCAGGAAGTTAATTCTCAATACTTAAACCATACATGATGATGCTGTAGTTGTGGACATGAAAAATGACTTACAGAGAAGAAATTAAGTAAGTTTCTTTCTTTTATTTTTTTTTTTAATTTTCCCAAATTTTTATTTTTTGACATCAAGTCCATTTATCTTGGCAAATGACCAAAAAAAAAAAAAAAAAAAAAACTAACAAGAAATGTTAAAAGAAGGAAGGCTGGGGTTGGGATGTAGCTCAGTGGCAAAACATCTGCCTCACATCCCCAAAGTCCTGGGTTTGACCTCCAGTTCCAAAAAAGACAATAATAAATAGTTAGATAGATAAAAGAACCCCCTCCCTCCCCCAAAAAAAGAAGGCTGATAAGAAGAACTAGAATAATCATAGTTTTGTTTTCCTTTCTGAGAAGTCATTCCATTGTGTTGAAATTTCTCTAAAACAAGAAATATTTCCCAAAGTAAAGTTTAAAACACAGTTCATAATTCTAGGACAAAGAGTAATCTAACCAGGTTCTGACTAATAGTAGTAAACATGCAAGGAAACATTTTGGTGAACTTGGTGGGTTGCAGGCAATGCTAATGTTCCTCAAATGTAGAAACAGATTTTTAGAAACATTCCACGAACTGAGAAACCTTCATTCTTAAGGCATAGCACAAATTTACACTATGGCCCTCAACATGGAGCAGTGGCTGGGAAAGGTCATGCCAAGTCATGGGTAACCTTTATGTTTTTCTGAGGCATGCCCCATTCCTTCTTGCTCTCTCCAACATTGATGGAGGACTGAACTTGGCTTATCTCCTTGAAGTCCCATGACAAGACTGCCTCTCTGTTAATAATTTTCTCTGGTCTCTTCCTGGGTCATCTGGTTGGCCATGGGAGGGAATCAGTACAGAGATGGAAGCAGGCCTGATTTACCCTTCCTGACCTCACCTTCAGTCTCCTTCAAAGCACTTGGCCAAGTCACATGGGAGTATGTAACTTTTTTTTTTTTGAGAGTCTAATAATTTCTTTTTTTATTTAATTTTTTATATATGACAGCGGAATGCATTCCAAGTAACTTTCTTTTAAGAATGGAAAAGGTTTTACTGAGATGCCTTTTCTTCATCCCAGGATCTTTGTTCCCAACTTAGTAAGAAGCTATGTAATTTCTTCAAAAACAGGAGATAGCAGTACCAATTCATACAATTGTAATTAATTAAATGAATTAATGTATTACTAAATGCAATGCTTATAAAGTCTTTGGAATGGTTCTTGGCCTACAGTATGCACTCAATAAATGTTATCTACTGGCATTACTATTATTCCTTTCTAACTTAGTCACAAACACTGCCTKGTAAGAAATAATGGATAGTTTCCAGCTCTTTGGGTCAGTAAGCATGAAAGTCATAATATAGTCAATTAGTTCTACAAGGCAAAAGCAAGATCCAGTTTTTCTTTAGGATTGCACCTTTAGACTGGAAAGAGGTAAATCATGAACATCTGCTGGGCCTTCTCAAAAGTAAAAAATGGGAAACTACCCACACTAAGCAACCAAAAGGAAAGACATAACAGGGAGGAAGGAGGTGAGGATCAGCTTTACCACATCGGAAGAGATGCTGCAATTATCCACCCAAAACTATTCTTTATAACCTTATTTTTGTTATTCTTTACGTGTAAAATGCCATCCTCTTCAGAAACAGCATCCTTATTAGAAACTGTAACAACTACAATACTTTCGCTTTGTAGAGTAGGTCTCTAACTCAACTGAACACAATCCAAAACATACACATTGGTGCTTCCTAGCACTTGGGGATCTTGCAAAAAACAGAAGTTCTAAATCAGTGGATTTAGAGTGAAGGTTTAAATTCTACGTTTCTAAAGGGTTTGCAAGTGATGCTAACACTTCTGGTCCACAAACCACACACGAGTGGCAATGGTAGCATCATCTCATTTCACCTTCTCAAACACACCAAGGGATAGAAATTATTCCACAAATGAGCCAGAAGTTGGAAAAAGGTTATTAAAAACTGTCCAAGCCCAAGCTAACACAGGCTGGAACTACAATCCAGGACCGCAATTCGCAGGCGTGGTCATCTGCTACATTACAGCCTATCCAAAGACCGTGAAAGACCAGGCGCCTAAGGCCCAGGTCAACTTTCTGGTCATCCTTAAATTACATGTGTTCCAAATTAATAGCAAGCAGTCCCGCCACAAGTAACGTCGCAGTCAATAAATAAGCAGGAGTTACTGAAAGGTTTGAGGCCGCGCGAGCTCAGGACGCAGACCACGGGAGGACGCATCTTCCAATCAGTTCTGCCCTCGCGCCGGCTTTGCAGTCTATGGGACGTTGCGGAAACCGTAGGTCCACGCTAGCAAGCTACCAGGACTTCCCAAGTTTAAACACGCGCGCACGCACACACAAACACACAACCCGACTGCGGCGTTCTGCAGACCCTCGGGGAGAAGTGACCCTGGATGCCGGTCATTCAACCSGGACGTCCCTCGGGGACGGAGCGCACACCCCCAAAACCCCGCTCCTCGGTGTCCAGAGACAGACAGGAGTCGAGGGAGCGGCGACTGCCCGGCGCCCAAGGTGCCGGTTGTGCCCGTAGGCTCCGGGGGCGGGCAGAGCGCGGGGCGGGGATGGGGCGGGGAGGCCGGGGTCCCGAGAGGGGGAGACCGGAAGGGACCGCCGTGGAGGGGAGGACTAGCGGTGGTGGTTACAAACCCCACACGCGGAAAAGGCGCGCTCTTTCGTCTAAACGCGCTCACTCACCTCCCCCATACACGCCACCGCTCATGGCTGCTGTCGGCGCGACTCCTAGGCTAAAGGCTACCGGGCGAAGTGACTGCAGCGGCCGCAACTGCTGGTCTAGAGGAGCTGTAACCCTCGACCCCCTGAACTTCCACCGCCACCCCCCTCAGGCAACAAAGCGGCGTCCACACACCCTGGAGCGCAGCCACACTTGCTGGTTCCTGGGACCAGCCAATCATGAGGGGTCCGGTCTGCCCTCCAGCCAATAAGCATGCATCTCTGCAGCATCCCTGCCGCGGCGCAGCAAGTTTAGCCAATCGAAGACAGCCTGGGGGCGGAGAAAGGGGAAAGCGACGGAAGCAGAGAAGGAGTTGGGTTGCGGAACTGGAGGGGGCGGGGTTCAGTGGTGGGCGGGAAAGTGGGGTGGAGAAAACTGGAGGGAGGGGGAGGAGGGAGGTTGGAGTTAAGTATCGGGGATAGGCAAGTCTGGGCACGCAGGAGCGATGGGAAATCTGGAAATAGGGAGATAGTGTCCCCACGTAGCGATTCCTGGTCATGGACTGTGATGGTTGTGGATTAAAAGTAGGGGTACTGAGCTACATCCCAGCCCTTTTTAAATTTTTTGTTTTGGAACAGGGTCTAGCTTAATTGCTGAGGGTCCCAGCTGGGGCTGACCTCAGCCTCCCTAGTAGCTGGGATTAGGAGCATGCACTAGGCGCCTGGCCAGAAATTTTTTTTTTTAATTTATTTTTTATAGTTGTAGATGGACAGCATGACTTTGTTTAGTTTTTTTAAATTTTTATTTATTTATTTTACATGAGCTGTCTTATTATTATTAGCATTACAATTCTTAATACACCTTTATACCACAGTTTATCATATCTCTGTATACAAGATATGTTGACACCAAATTCACATCTTCATACATGTATTTTGTACAAAGATGAGTGTCTCCTTCCACCATCCATGCAATTCCCCTTCTCCCTCCTTTTCCCTCTATTTGTTTAGTTTTTTATGCGGTGCTAAGGATAGAACCCAGTGCCTCACACATGCTAGGTACTCGCTCTGCCACTGAGCTATAGGCCCAGCCCCCCCCAATTTTTTTTTATCAGAAAAGTATTTTAAACTTTTACGTTTGGAAAACAAAAATGTGCTCCACTTTGAGGWTCCTATGAATTTTAAATAATTCTTAATAATTAAAAGAAGAAAAAGATGGTACATTATCTCAACTAAATTTAGGTAGTATTTTAAAAATTATGTTAAGAAGTACTTCAATTTCTTTTATCAGGTGAAATATGTATCAAACAAGTTATTCTATCCTCTTTAAAAGAAGAACCCAATGCTTAATACATCTGAAATCTGTCTACTATTCTTGGTATTCTTTTTCTATCACCCCAGTCCAGAACAGTGTCTTTTCTCCCCTAGATTACTGCAGCAATTTGTCTCTCTGCCGTCCAACTCTACAAGCAGCTTGGTCTATAAAAATGCTCAAATCTAGTCATGTCACTGCAGTTCTCAAACTCTAAAGATTATTGTATATCCTTGTAATTGATAGCAGTTTTTAAGTTAATATTTCTAGAGTCTAGCTATATATACTGTTAACCTTAGCATGTATTGAATAAAGCCCCATCAATCACAGTGCTAGCAAGGAGGTAAAACATGGCAGTAGAATGGGGAACAAGGTTAGTAAGAAAATTATTTCCTACTCACTTGACTATATAATCACAATATATCTGGTTATTTAGGAAATCTTCACTAGCCCAGTGAGATAATGCAGAGGTCAGCAACCTATATTACCTGGGCCAATACCAACCTACCATCTATTTCAAGTGAGCTAAGAATAATGATTCCAATTTTAAATGTTGTAAAAATTTTAAAAATAATATTTCATTATGTGTGAAAGTCATATGAAATTCACATTTCAGTAACCTTAAACTAGGTTTTATTAGGACATAGCCAAGCTTGCTCATTTATGACTACTTTTGTCTATGATGGTGGAGTTGAGTAGTCAATGGAGACCATGTGGTTCATTAAACTGGAGAACACATTTATTGTCAGACCTTTTAGAGTTAAATATCCCCTGAGCTGAGGCATGCAACATACCTAGCACAGTATGCCTGAGTACTATACATTAACCGTTGTCCCCATGATTAAGCCTCTCACTGTGGATGCATGTCACAACCCCAAAATATTTCTAATTTCTTATTGCTTTTATGATATGCTGACTAATAAAGCTGATGAGTAATAAAATATTGCAATGCTTTCCAATAACTCAATATTAAACAAATACACTATTTTGAGTTTATAATACACACTAATCCATTTAAATCAATTTATCATTTAAATTTCCAGTAATTAATATACAGCAAATTGAGTAGATTATATATATTGATATCTCCCATCAATACTATCTCCAACATCTCCTGTGCATCTAAAAGAATGTATTCAGCCCTGTCTGGGCTGAAGAAGAGTAAAGTATTTGGTCTGCTAGCTCAGAGTTCACTAGAAAATAAAACATTTCAGCAGAGTTCATGAGGACCATACCTCCAGCCTCTGAAGGCTGAAATATTGTGATAATATTGAGACAATACTGTGCACACAGTGCAGCAGAATCTTAAATCTGACAGCACAAAGAAGACAGTTTGAGAGAATATTGGAAAGTCATGCTTAGATGTTTTTGATAAAATAAGGTATTTGGTCCATTTGATAATTGGCAAAGGTATTAGAAAACAGATCATTTGTTCATTCATAATTTCAGGTCATCATGGTCTCTTGATGTGTCACCAGGATCACCGCTTTATTTAAATAATAAACCATTGCAGTGAACTTCAAAGGAAATGAACTTCTCCATAGTACATCTGATGTGTCAGGACTAATCACATGTTAACACAGATAAAAGTCTCCACTTCCCTTTGATACATTTTATTCAAAAAATACAATAGGATAGTAATATTATTGACCCTAAAGTATCGAATTCCTAGAGGAAGGAATTTAGAAAGAAAACCTATTCAGCAGTGGAAGACAATCATGTTGGGGAACTGTATATTCTTACTAATAATGATATTTCCTTTGTGATGAGACTTTTATAGGATGGCAGCTTTTTATCTGTTCTCAAAAATTAGAGAAGTAGCAGAAAATACATTAAAAGAAAAATACTAAATCAGGTACTGTGGCATATACCTGCAATGCCAGTCCTAAATTAATGTTACCAATAACAAGTCAGATTAAAGAACAAGAACAATCAAAGGTTATTTACTTTCTGTTATTTCTCTTCTCAGGGGCACACCATATCAAAACTATCAATGCTTGCAACTGAACCAGTATATTAGGTATATCAATCTAAAACAAGACATTGAAGTAACATTTTAGTGTTAACATTGTCTAGCCCACAGTAGATTCAGATTGACTCTGAATATAGAACTACAAAAAAAGTGCCCTTTCAAAACTCCTTTATAATATCCAAGCATTTAGAATTTCTTGTGTACCAGATGCAAAACTTGGCTTCGCCTCACTGGGTCGCTGGTCTTCCACTCTTGTAACACTGCCTAAGGACTATATGGAAGGAAAGCCTCACTCCTTTCTTCACCAGCTCTGTCAGCACTGTCATTATGGAATTGCAGCCATCGTTACAAAACATTATCCACTTTGTCCTCTGTCTCAGATTTTATTAAGTGTTTAAAAAATTACAATTGTTATGAAAGCTAGGAAACAAATTCAGAAAATTAGCATCTGTCTGTTAAGAAGAAATGAGAAGAAAATGTATGGACGTGTAGAATTATTTTATTTCATTCTGTAAAATACATGAAATGAGCAATTATAAAATACAAATTTCAACAAAGACATTTTTAGTGGAGATACACACACACACACACACACACACAGTCATTKTAAGTACCATCCTCAATTTCTGAAGTTCCAAAAATATGCAGGCACTACTGTTTATAATAATAAACATCTGGAATCTAGGTTTGTTCTTCATTTTTTTATTCATCATTTATTTATTTATTGCAATACTAGATCTTTGCACAAGCTCTACCACTGATCTATATCACTACCCTCAAACTAGGCTTCCAACCATAGAAAYATGATGCTAACAATTTCAGAAATGTATTCTGGATATATGAAGAAGCAAATGAAAGAATGTTTGATTGTACCTGGCACATTCATAATATACCAATAGTTATGTTACAGTATTAACAATAGGGTCCATAAAAGACAAAGAAGGCCCTCAAAAGATGAAGTGCTAGATAAAACACTAGCTGCTTTGTGAATTTTATGTCTATGCTGTTATTTCATTATCAATTTTTAAATCCCCTTTTTGTTCAATGGATGTAGCTCTTGAGAGAAATCACAAGTAAGCCATGCCAACATTTATTTAATCAATTGGTGGTGTGAAGTGACACTGTGCCACCCTGGGTCACTTTGGGCAAGTCAAGCTTCCCATACATTTAGGTCAGTGCTGAAACCAAGTTTGGGGGCTGTTACACAGCCCAAGGAGCAACACTGCCCCCATCTTGTGTTCTTGCTCTGTATGGTTTCTTTAAAACCCTTGAAACTTTTGGAATAGGAAAGACTTTATCTGCCTTATGATATAAATGGCTATAAATTATTGACCCCATGTTAGGGTCCGTAAACAAGTCAAGATGGTGCCTGGCACTTTGCCAGAGGGAGTGGTTTGTGAAGTAACACCATGGAGCCATTAGGATGGAGATTCCTTAATGACTGACTGCTGTATCTAGTTTATGTTAATTGAGTTAAGCTGTGTATAATTAAGATGATGAGGATTCCTTGATGACTGATTGATGTATCTGGATGATGTTAATTGAAACAAGCTGTGTATAATGAGTTAGGCATAAATACCTCTGCTGTCCGACAATAAAGCGGCTCCTACTGTATCAACCTTCACAAGTTGCTTGTTGCTCCCCTGGTTATTTTGCCCAGCCAGACTGCRACAACCCCCAAAATGGGCCGTCACAGAAAAGATACTTTATATAGTACTTTCCATTTAATCCATACAACATCCCTATCAGAGTTTAAAGCAGACCAGAGATTTAGCAAGTTGCCAAACATCACACGGCTATTGAAAGATTCAGGATTTGAAATTAACCCTTCCAAACATAAAATTTCTATTTCAAGATACCTTTCCCTTTCCGTGTCTATGCTTCTAGTAAATTTTTTAAATAATAATTTCAATTGTGCATATAATATAATCTGTATAAATCCATGTATAGGTACACAGGAACA